TATGCAAGCCGACATTTCGAAATATTCCAACATTTTTAAATGAAAAGTAAAAACAACACAGGTTTAAATTCATCAAACTCTCAAAAATTGGGTAGAAAGTCAAAACCAATATAGAAATTCCCAACATCGGGGTGTCACTGAGTAAATGAGCATCTATAAATCACAAGTCTGGGAAATACTGTCTATGATAGTCTAAAACTAAATAAAATAAGCAGAAAAATAAGGAAAGAGAAACAAGGTTTGCGAATGCCGGGCATCTACTATAGAATCTCCAATGATCAAGCTGCGCAAGGAAATCAACACCCACCGTGTCCGGAAATGCCTGGATCTGCACACAAAGTGTAGGGTGTAGCGTGAGTACAACCAACTCAGTAAGTAACAAGTCTAAACAAGGACTGGCAGTAGTGACGAGCTTCACAAATATAGTTCAATTACAGTAATTTCAACATAGGAAGGTAGGCACGCTTTCAAGTTCGACAACTAAGGCCAAAACAGTTAATTCAAGTCAAGTTCAAGTGAAACAAAATATAATATCTCTCAAAAATTTCAAGATGATGATATATGGCAACTGAAGTGCAATAGTAATGAAATCAAATGCATCCTTTGAGAACAACAGTTACTCAGTCCTCCCATTCGCTCCAACCTCACAATCACTCATTTATCACAGTCGCTCATTCCTCCAGACGTTCGGCACTCGACACTCGTACTCAATAGGTACCTACGCTCACTAGGGTTGTGTACAGACTCCGAAGGAGCTCCTTCAACCCAAGCGCTATAACAAGCCAATTATGGCATAAGCCATTGAAACATGATGCAACGTGTAGCCCGATCCCATAAATATCCTCACAATCAGGCCCTCGTCCTCACTCAGTCATCAAACTCTCCCATCTCTCAGGCTCTCAATATTTATAATATTTATAATAGTCATCAATATGTACACGACCTCTGTGGGTCCTTACAAGGCCAACATATAATCTAAACATGATTTCTAACATGATTGCAATTCAATTTCTATAACACATGGAGAATGTACGGATAATAACAGATTCTCCAACTATACAATTTCATGGAATTTGACCAAGTCACAATTCCTACGGTGCACACCCATATACCCATCACCTAGCATGTGCGTCACCTCAAAACCAAAAACATGACACATAATACGGGGTTTCATACCCTCAGAACCAAATTTAGAACTGTTACTTACCTCAAACCATGTAAATCACTACCCCAACACAGCTTTGCCTCGCGAAACGGCTTCTGAATGCCTCGAATCTAGTCACAAATAATTCGATACAATCAACACAAGCTAAAAGAATCATTTCCATAAGAAAATAATAAGCTCTTAATCAAAGGTCAAAAGTCAACTCAAAAGTTGGCCCCCCGGGCCCACATCTCAGAATTGGATAAAAGTCACAAAATCCGAAGACCCATTTAACTACAAGTCCACACATACCAAAATTACTCAAATCCGACACCAAACGCTCGATCAAAACCTCAAAATTTGGCCTAAGAATTTTTCTCCATTCCCCCCCAATTTTCCATCTCAGATCACTAATTTAATGGTGAAATTAAAGACATAATCATGAAAATTAACCAAAACTGGGTAAGAATCACTTACCCCAATCACCTACTTGAAAATCTCCCTAAGAATCGCCTCCCACCGAGCTCCCAAAATCAATTTTGTGTTATGAACTCAAACCCTCATTTTTGAACATTTAAATCTGCCCAATGACATTCTTTTTCGCGAATGTGGTCCTCCTTTCGCGTTCGCGTAGCACAAATACATCTGCTGCCCTACAACCTTCTACACAAATGCGAGGCTATACTCGCTAACGCGATGCCTATCTGACCCCTAGCTTCGTAAACGCGATCCTTATTTTGCGAACGTGAAGACCAAATGCATGGGGTCCCAGTTGCCTCTTCTTCCTTTTCACGAACGCGACCCACTTCACGCGTTCGCGATGCATCACCTACCCAGTCCTTTGCGAATGCGGTTCCCCTTTCGCGAACGCGAAGAAAAATTCTTCACTTGCCTTTAACTACCCTTCGCGAATGCGGGACGCCCATCGCTAACGCGAAGAAGGAAACCAGAACTGGACACCAACATATTCTTCAGCAGTCTTCCAAGTCCAAAAATCGATTCGTTAACCATCCAAAACTCACCTGAGGCCTTCGAAACCTCAACCAAACATACTATCAAGTCCCAAAACATCATACGAACTTAGTCGAGCCCTCAAATCACATCAAATATCAAAAACACGAATCGCACCTCAATTCAAGCCTATTGAACTAAGGTAATTTCAACTTCTACAAACGATGCCGAAACCTATCAAATCACGTCAGATTTACCCCAAAATTTGCACACAAGTTACAAATGACACCACAGACCTACTCTAACTCCCAAAACTCCAATTCGAGTCTGGTATCCACAAAGTCCGCTCTCGATCAAACTTCTAAATTTCCAACTTTCACCATCTCAAGCCTAATTCAACTATAGACCTCTAAAACACAATCCAGACACGCTTCTAAGTCCAAAATCACCCAATGGAGCTAACAGAACTATCAAAACTCCATTCCGAAGTCATTTATATTTAACTCAACATTCGGTCATCCTTTTCAACTTAAGCTTCCAACTTTGAGATTAAGTATCTCAATTCATTTCGAAACCCCTCCAGACCCGAACCGACTACCCCGACAATTCACATAATAGCTATAAAGTATAAAATGAGCAGTAAATAGGAAAACATGACTACAACTCTCAAAATGACCAGCCGGATCATTACACCTTAGTAGGCGGATTAGTTGTCCTAGGGCTAATTAGTAGGCTAGGGTTTTGAGTGTTGCATGCAACATCACTGCCACGTGGCTGCCTAGGAGAGGGTGGAGAATTTTGGGGAGAGAGTTCCAACATTGGAGTTAACGAAGGGTTTGAGAGAGAATGTTTGTCTCTCTGCCCATCCGTTTGCATCCTAGAATCAAGGAAATTAAAATCATCATTTATTAAGAGAATTTGTTTGAGATGTGAATGAATTTATTGTCCATTAATGTAGGAGAGGAATTAATGTCCTTTAAAGTAGGAGGTAGCCTAGAATTTATGGAGGAATTTGAACGGTTGTTAGTGTAATTAAAGGCTTTGTGGCTTTGAAAAGATGAACCATTAGTAAGGTTAGGATTTTTTTCTTTAAAAAATAATTTTTGAGTTTTTAGGTACTTACATAACGCCACATCAAATATTTTTAAATATATACCTACTTTTGAATCTGGCGGGTGTCGTAGTCGTTGCTCCACTTGTAAAGACGGTTGCTTCTCCATGTATGAGGTTGTTTTGGTGTCTTCTCTTGGGGAAGGTGACCGTATGCCCGAGGTTTGCTGGTGATGTGCTATTTTTCTTATTGGTAGGTTCTATTAAAGAAGGTGAATTGATTCTACCATGAGGGGATGCAATTTGCATAACCCAGGCGACTACAATTCTTGCATAAAATATTGTTCCCTTCGTATGTTAACTATTGGAGGTGGGATCCAATGGGTATACAAGATTGGACTGGATTATCCATAGGTAGTTCCACACAAAGCCTCACGTAACGACCCCTTAGAGTAGCACTGGTACATGTAGCTATTTTTAGGATTTTTTCGATGGAGTTCCTAATTTTTCGGAGTATTAGGCCATCGTAGAACTCCATAGGCAATTGGGGCAAGCGTACCCAAACTGCAGTGTGCATTTTTTTTGCTTTCTCAGCAAAAAGTTTGGTTTCCATTGTTTAAAAGAGAGGAAGTATCCATTGATAAACCACGAGCCATTTTGTACTGCTTGTATCATATTTTCTTCCTTTGTGAATTTGATAATAAAATAGTCAGGCCTTGGTCAATTAATGGAAATGGTTCTGTTGGTTTCCATAGTTGGATTATTTTTTCTCTTAGGTATTGATGTTAAATTTATTTTCCAATTAGTTTAATTATAAGGGAGTGTTTCCAAGGGGAGTACATGCAATTTCAATCATCCTCCATTAGAATGCTTGCCTTGATGCCTTTGGTAGTATTGATGGTGGTGGGGCTTAAAGTCACATCTTCCATAGGTTCCATAGATTGCGAGAATGGGGTATCCAACAAACCATTGGTTGTGTTGGTATCAAGGTGGAGGGTGTTGGGGTATGCCATTGATTCGTATGCAAGAAGTTTTTCCTTGAATAATGATCCCTCAATTTTTTGGTAACATAGGTTGGTTTCATTGTTAATATCGTGGGGTTTAAGGGGGATATGAATTTCCTGTTCTTTTTCTGGGTTTTTGCTCTCGATGTTCATAACTGAGCATTATGCCCTTGTCATGTATTTCGATTTTGTTGATACCCAAAGCTGTTTTCAAGCATTACTGTATCAGATTTGTCCAAATTTAATAATGTGTCGTGGTTATTTTGTTCTTCATTCCCCAATTTACTATGCCACCCCTTGTTAATTTCTCAACGAAAATCTTAACATTAGTACGAGATCAAGATCCTTTTTTAAAGAAGCCGTCTACCTAAATTTCTTGACAAAGCTCTTAAAAGGCTCTTGGACCTGTATTCTACATTTTTACACCATAAATGCGAGCGAAACCTGTTAAGTTTAACGAAAATATTATTTTTACTGTTAATTTTAAGGTTTAAGACTAAAAGATCCTACTATCTTTTTAAATCATAAGTGATATTTTTATTAAGGGCAATATATAAGAGACCAATAGCCTGTTTGACCAAGCTTCTTTTTTGGTCAAAAATACTTTTTTAGTCAAAAGTGTTTTTTTGCCAAAACTAAGGTTGACCAGCTTTTTGAAGAAAAAAAAATTCTTTTGAGTAGAATCAAAAACAGTTTTAGAAAAGCCGAAAAAAGTATCCTCTCCAAAAGCACTTTTTAAAAATAAGTAAATTTTAAAAGCTTGGCCAAACATGCTACAAAATAGTCCAACCCCCATATATTAAAGACCATGTTGCCTGTTGAGAGTCGCATACCAAAAAATTGGGGAAACACGTGAAATTAAGGAGTTATTTTGGAACCGACTCTTAAACTAATATGCCTTAGATTTGTTCAAAATTCCATATTTTTTCCATTTCAAATTTCAAATTACTTTTAGAATTTAACAACAAAAAGAGACCTTTTTTCCCAAACAACTACACTTTATATTCAGATACGTATCAGGCAACTGTTCGGCTACCGTATGACACGCATTTCATTTGGGGAAAGGAAAAAGTGAAACTCCCGGAGAGTAGAAGAGGAAGGATTTTCCAACTTATTACTCAAGATTAATCTTTTCAAGTTAAGGTAGCCATTTTGTTTTCGTCTGTTTTATTGTTCCTTTATGCTGGATTTGGTGGGGCCTTTTTTTGTTTGATTGGATTAATTAGGGTTTCTAGTTTTCATCAAATTGGATTATATACTTTGTTCTTTATAGATATCTCTTATATGAAGTGGAAACCCCAGATTACTAGAGTTGTTTTATTATTTAAATCTTTATATCTTTGGTTCTTGCTTGTCGTTCTTTGGGTACGATTGATTTCATACGTTAATTGTTTTCATATACATTCAATTTGGGTCTAAGGTTGTTTAATTCCTTTGAAAGTTTCTATGCTACTATCTTTCAAATAGAGAATTTTTTTTATTTTCGTTATTCCCTCGGAGTTGAGCCATACTTAGCAGATGGGATCTATTCATTAGAGGAAGTGATGATGATTAACTGATAGAACATCTTCTGTTCTTTCAAATCGCATCTCTCAAGTAAGAAGAGAAGGCTCCCACAGAGCGGTGGGAAAGCAAGGGCGTAGCAGGAAGAAGTATGAAAGCAACAAATCTTTCAAGCAAGCAAGAACCAAATATATTAGGATTTAAAGAAGAAAAGAGTTTTGGTAAAGAGCTCAAGCTTGAAAGTAATTCTGAAGTTCAATCTTGAACAATAAGGTTTCCAACCTCACAAAATTGTTGTAATTATAGAAGATCTTCAACATGTGTTTATATTTTTAAGGAGATTGAGAAGTCGATTGTGAGAGGAAGAAGGATCTGGACATGATGTTCATTGACCTAGGAAAAATATATGATGGAGTACCAAAAAACGTCCTTTGGTGGGTGTTGGAGAAGAAAGGAATTCATATTTAATTTATAATTCCATAAAGGAACATCACTAGTGTGTAGGAGATATAAATGAGTTTCCCACAATCGAGTTAAGACTTGGGCTAGGCATTGAGCCACTTCTTTATCCCCGTTATGGATGAGCTAACATGATTAGGCTCCATGATGTATGCTATTTGTTGATGATAGTGTGCTAATTAACGAAAACATTGAAGGTGCCAATCAAACGCTTGAATTATGGAGAAACACTCTAGAGAGTAAAGGTTTTAGAAAAAAAGAAGCAAGATTATTGAGTATGTTCATTGCAAGTTTAGTCATAGGAGAGTGAAATTGATGTGAAATTAGATGAGATCACATGCATACACTTCAGACACTTAGGTTTGTTCCAGGAGAATGAATTGATAGATGAAGATGTTACCATGTAATCAAGATCAGATGGTTGAAATTGAGAAATGCTACAAGACTATTGCATAAGTTCTACATAATACATATTATTAGCAATATTATATAGGGGTGAATGTTAGGCTGCTAAAGTTCAATAAATCCACAAGATGAATGTCGTAGAGATGCGAATGCTAAAATGGATGTGTGATCATACAAAATTAGACAAGATTAGAAACGATCACATCTGCAAGAAGGTTCAAGTAGCACAAATCGAGGGTTATATGAGAGAAGGTTGTTTGATGATTTGGTGAAGTTCCTCTAGATGCACCACCTATCATTAGGTATGAAACCATGGTGAGGGTAGTGTTAAAAGTGGATGATGTAGATCTTATATCATATGAAAAGAAGTTGTCTCGAAACACCTATAGTTTTTAGGGATCCGTACAGACTTACCGAAAAATAGAGAACAACGGAAGGAAAAGATGTATATAGACGATACATATTAGTAGAGAATATGGTCTAGACATATTAGCACTTTTAATTTTAAGTCATATGCTTTAGGTGTGGTTTAACCTTTCATGTATTTATACATTGAAAAATATATAGCAAATTTTTAAATTGTTTTACTTGTATTTGTAGAGTAATATGGTTAATGAGAATTCATGTAGGCGATCCCAACTTATTTGGGACTGCGGAGTAATAATAGTAGTTGTTGTAATAAGAAAATGGAAGTCTCTGTTATACAAGGAAACCATATAAATAGTGGAAAATCTACCAAGAAAAAGGAACTAGATATCCTTTTTTGGAAAGTAAGTATAAACCAACTCAGAAAATAAAATAAAAAAAGATGTCTTATTTTGGAAGGTAACAGGAAGTTCTATTTTAGAAGGAAACACGAAACAATGTTGATGCTCTATCTAGGATTGTATTAGTTAATTTTCACCATTCCCTATATTTATATGTAACACAAAACTCCTTTTGAAGTCACGTTTGTAGTTTTCCTGTCTTAGATGGAGGTTTGAAAGGAAGGATCATCTAATGGACATGTATTTGCTCCTTAAGCTAGGCTCCAAACCTTATCATTTCGTGTAATTGAGCAGCTTTAGTTATTTTTTTGCAATTAAGATGAGCTGGAAAATTATTCGCCGATTGTAAATGTGATGGAGAAGTTATTTTCCCGACGAATCTCTATGTTCTTTATTATTTTCTTGGCTAGCAACGTGCAAAAGAAATATTTTCCAATTCAATCTCTTTCCTATCTTAGAGATTGAAATTAAATTCTATATTGATGGCTTCTTAGCGATATTTTCTTTGATTTTCAAGAAAACTACGAGATCAAACTTAATTGTGTAGTTTCAAAATAAGATATCTGGTTGAGAGTGTTACTCCTAGAATTAAAACCGGAAGGCTTGAAATTGAGAAGTGCTACCGAAGTGTTATGAGATAGAAAAGTGTTGTGAAGAGTGTGAAGCGAGAAGCGAAGTGCTCGCTTTTTTGAAGTGAAGCGGAATTTTAAACAAATATTAAAATAAATACTGCATTTCAAAAAGAAAGACAGTATAACTAAAACAAAAAAATGGGTAGCATTTCAATCTTTTTATCACTGGAACATTGCAAGAAGATGAAGAAGAAGAGGAGCAGAATGAGAAAGAAGAACTGAAGGGAAAGAAAAAAATTCGCCAGCATTTCGTTGCTATTTGGATGCTGAAACATTGAAAGAAAAAAAGGAGGAAAAAATCACATACTTGTGACCAAACTTGATGATATTGAAGTTGAAAAGTGTAGAAAACTTGAACCCTAGGTCATCTCTCTTTCTCTATTGCTGCTGCTCGATGGTGTTTTAAAAAAAGACAGTTTTTTTTAATTAATTACGTTGGCAGCCCAGTTATAAAGAGAAGTGCTTGCTTCTTACGCTTCGCATCACTTCATCGCTTCTTGTTTTTTCAGGGTAAGCGAGCACTTCTGTAAATCTGCTACGCTTCAGCTAACAGAAGCGCCAGATACCTCGCCTCGCTTCACTTCTCGCTTTAAGCGAGGAAGCGCTCGCTTTTTACAACCCTGGATAGAACCTACCAAAGTGCGTGGTGAGTTCTACACAATGATTATAAGGCCGACAATGTTATGTGACAATGAATCTTGGGCCGCTAAAGTCCAAGAAATCCAAAAATGAGTATTGCAAAGATGTAAATGCTAAGATGGATATGTCATACAAAGATTAGATAAGATTAACAATGACTATAGTCACCAGAAGGTACACATAACACGTGTTGAGGATAAAATGAGAGAAGATCGCTTGAGATGGTTTAGTCATGTTTGACGTCGACCTACAAAGGCATCAGATCATAGGTGTGAAATTATGATGAATGAATGTATTATAAGGGAAGGAAACAGAGCTTAAATCTTATGGAATGAAGTTTCCTTGAAAGACCTTTAATTTTTTGGGAAATGTTACCACGTAAATAAAAAAGACCTTCAATTTCTTGGATCAATGTAGACTTACCTTAAAATATGGTACAATGAAGGAAAAAGATCCATTTAAGTGATAACTACTAATGGAAAGTAGGATTTAGTCTTATTAGAGAACTTCTAATATTGTTGTTGTTGCTGTTGTTATTATTATTATTACCATTGCTATTATTTTGATATTTAACTTTTTTCTATTTGGTATGATAATGACATGAACTTAGCTTATATGGAGAAGTGAAGATATATATAACCGACCCCAACATTTATGGGACTGAGGTATAGTTTTTGTTGTATATGGTTGGGAGTGTTAAAATCGTTATCACTTTGTATAGTTTGTAGGTGGATAGAAATTAATGTTAAGATTTGTGCATGACTTTGTATAATTTGGTAGATATGTATGTATTAAATAGGTTAGTTGATATTATAGATTCCGATGATGCTCAAAGAATAAACCTAGTCTTTAGTGCCTTTTCCCTTTTTTATGCTTCACTTGATAGCAGAGTTGAATCTTCCAAACTCTTACAGATTGTTTTAAATCATATACCGGGCGCCTTAGATGACATACCAAGCAGAGCTTGACTCCCCTGAGCAACATTCTCAGTGAGTTCACCATGAAGGAAGACATTTTTGATGTTCAATTGATAAAGAGACTAATGAAAATGGTTGCCACAAACAAGGTGGTTGCTTAACTCTCAGCAACAAACCCAGGTGGTTGCTTCATATAGACATCCTCAATGAGTTCACTATGAAGGAAAACGTTTTATTTCCAATTAATAAAGAGGCAAATATAACTGCCACAGAGATAAAGAGGCAGATTAATGCAATCTTATCCATCGGATAAATATATGACCATAATCTACTCCATAAATCTGAGTATATCCCTCAAACACTAATCTAGCGTTAAGACGATCAACTTGGCCTGTCGATCCTATCTTGACAGTAAATATCAAAGGATATTCCACTATTGTTTTTTCATGTGGTAAGTGGTAAAGGAATTATCTCCTAAGTGTTATTATCCTGCGGGGCACTCATCTCTTCAACCAAAGCTTGATGCTAACTTGGATGAGCCATTGCTTCTGCCACAATCTCAGGTATTTTGACTGTGGATAAATTTGTAACAAAGGCATAATGGGATGGTGCGATGATAACTTAAGAAAATGTAGGGAGGATTAGGAGTAGTCTACTCATAGTACTTGAAAAATGCCGAGCAATGATAGAATAGTGATAGAAGGAGACAAAATTGTCGGTTAATCGAAAATCGGGTTGTGTCATCGGGAATGTCATTGAAAATAAAGAGTAGTGCAACTAGAATATCACCGAAAAGACATTAGAATATAATAAAAGAAGAAAAACTTTGGCGGACCAGATGGCGTAAGGGAATTTGTCGGATAAATAGAAGCTACTTGAGTCTCTACTAAAATCGTAGAAGTTCTTACCCTATGGGAAAATAGTGCCAAAATAGTTTGTTTAATTGATTATTAACAATGTACAAAATGAGCTCCTTATATGAGAGTTTCACGTTATGTACAATGTAGCTCGTAAAAAGATTTACGTTCTCCTCCTAAACAAGACTTTCTTAAGGTTTACATTATGGATGGGAAAGTGATAAGGAATGATCATTATTTTATAGAAGTTCAAGACCTTTTCCTTCTAAGGATTAGCCAACTATGGTATATTTATATTTTTCTTTTCTTAGGAGAAGTCAAACCAATTTTGGTTAATATCTGTTCGTCTTTTGAGAGAAAGTAAAATTCAAAAATGATAAGAAAATCGGGATAAACACCTAACAATTTATAAATGTAAACTGTATATGGTCCATCCGGAAGGAGAGAAATGGGAGGTGTTTTCTATTCAGAAGATCAAGATGAATTGATTATTTTTATGGTATTTTTGGTGTAAAAAGAATTTTAGTAGTAGGAATTGATAGGTTCCCTCTAAGAAGAGATGTGACACTGTAAATACTTTTAAGTGCACCTTCTGGTGCTATTTATAATGCAATTGCCAATTCCTTAAAAAAACAATTTGTAGATGTAAACCTTTTTAAGCGTGAAATTTATGAGGTTATTCTATTGGTATTTTTGTACTTTCTTTATATTAGTGAATTGCTCATATGTAGATCAATTAACCAAATCATGTTAATTATTATCTCTTATGGTATATTTCTTTTTGTTGTCTTATTTATTGCCGTCTAAGGTTTACTTTGTTAGCTTGCGCATGAGACCTAGTTATTTCGATCCCAACAAGTGGTATCAGGTATCAGAGCCAGATCCATCTCAATTCTTGGTTTTTCCGATGTTGGCCCCCCATATCATATTGTCCACGCACTATTCATATGGTTTTGGATGTGGGGGAGGGGGTGGGAGGGTCTGCTCCCACATCGGTGTGAGTGGGTTATTTGATCTCCGTATATTGTCTTGGGCAATCATTACCTTGTGAGCTGGATTTTGCGGTTTTCTTAATCCCAAGATTCATTTAATTATCAGGTATTAAAGTGAGATTGAAGACAACTTCATGGCTAGTGCAGTTTTACCTGCAACTAATTTGACGGTAATGAAGATTAATTTGGGGAAATTTGATCAGAGTGGTGGAGTTAACGAGAAATTGACGGTAATGAAGATTAATTTGGGGAAATTTGATCAGAGTGGTGGAGTTAACGAGAAATTGACGGTAATGAAGATTAATTTGGGGAAATTTGATCAGAGTGGTGGAGTTAACGAGAAATTGACGGTAATGAAGATTAATTTGGGGAAATTTGATCAGAGTGGTGGAGTTAACGAGAAATTGACGGTAATGAAGATTAATTTGGGGAAATTTGATCAGAGTGGTGGAGTTAACGAGAAACTGGACGTTTGGAGACAAACCTTGAGTAGTAAAGGTTTCAGATTAAGAAGGACTAAAACTGAGTACATGGAGTGCAAGTTCAGTGACGCATAACACGAGGCGAATGTGAAAGTGAGGATTGATACGCAAGTCATCCTTAAGAGAGGAAGCTTTAAGTATATTGGGGCAATAATTTGAGGAAATAGGGAGATCGACGATAATGTCACACATTGTATAGGAACATGATTGATGAAATGGAGGCTCGCATGTGGTATCCTATGTGATAAGAATGTATCACCAAGACTTAAAAGGTAAGTTCTATAGAGTGGTTGTTAGACCAACTATGTTATATGGGGCAGAGTGCTGGCCATCCAAGTTTTCACACGTTCAGAAGATGAAAGTAACAGAAATGAGGATGTTTAGATGGATGTGTGGGAATACTAGGAGAGATAAGATTAGGAATGAAGATATAAAGAGCAAAGTAGGAGTGGCCTCCGTGGTGGACAAGATGCGGGAAGCGAGACTAGGATGGTTCAAACATGTGAAGAGGAGGAGCGCAGATGCCTCAGTGAAGAGGTGCGAGAGGTTGACCGTGATCGGTCTAAGGAAAGATAGAGGTAGACTGAGGAAGAATTAGAGAGAGGTGATTAGACAGGATATGGTACATCTTTAACTAACCGAGGACATGACCCTAGATAGAAGAACATGGAGGTCGAGGATTAGGATAGAAGGTCTGAAGGTAGTCGAGTGATTTCTCTTTTCTGAAGGGGATCATGGTCCTATTTTAGAGCACTTTATCCGCTCTCTCTTCTCCTTATCAGTATTGTTGTTGTTATTATTAGAGACAGATTAGTTTTTGGGAGCACAAATAGTGCGAGAACAATGCTCTGAGAATCACATTTCCGAACATGTATAACATCTCAAGTCAAAAGAAGATGCCTATCCAACGGTTGTGGAGTCTTCAAGGAGAAGAAGTGCAATAGAATGTCAGGTTTAGAAAGAACTTGCAAGACTGAGAGGTGGAAGAGTTTCAAAACTTGCTCAGACGGCTTCACAATCAAAAAGTTTCACAAGATAGACATGATGTATAAAGATGGGGTGCCGGGGAAAAAGGATTTTTTTCGTTAGGTCGTACTATGAGAAGCTTTTAAATAGGGAGGAGCCGGTCTTCCCACATAATCCGGTATGGATTTCCATGGTGCCGAGAAAGGTGTGTTTCTTCACTTGGCTAGCTACAAGAGGGTTGAGATTGACGGCAGAGAATTTGAGGAAGAGGAAGATCACTTGTGTTAGTTGGTGCTTCATGTGCAAAGAATCGGGAGAAGATCTGAATCACTTTCTCTTACATTGCCGGATAACTTCCTATTTGTGGGGGGAAATTTTTAGGTGGTTTGGACCGAGAGGAATAGGAGAGCTTTGATGGAGTAGAAATAAATCTTGTTCGCTTGACGAGTAGCCTCTTTTCCCTTATTTATTTTCGGTGCATCCATGAGGATCTTATTTGCATGGAAGATTGGGTGTTATTCGTAGAAAACCATGTCTCTTGTAAAGTTTTCTGCTTTTTGTGTATACTACTTGTATACGGGCTTGTTTCCGCCTTTATTAATGAAATTTATTACTTTATCAAAAAAATTATTATTATTATTATTTTATCATTATCTTATTTTTCAATTTTACTATTGTTTCTTTTACTTTGGTCATCTTACTATTTTTACTGTCAATATTTTTTTCTACAGTATTTTCATCTTAGCTTTTTTGCTCTTAGATTTTTCAAACCTTTTGAAACTATTTTTCTTGAGGCGAGGATTTATCGGAAACAGCCTCTCTACCTCACACAAGGTAGGGGTAAGGTCTACGTACACCCCATCCTCTCCAGATCCCACTTGTGGGATCAAACTGGGTATGCTGATGTTCTTGTTGTTGTACTACTCCATATGAAGATAATTTTCTCATATTTTCGACATTCTTGTTGCTGCATCTTTGAAAATAAAAATATAAATATTTTTAATCCATACCTATTTTTAACCTTATTTTTAAACATGGCAAGCGGTAGTCATCTGATAAAGATTATGTGAAGAAAGTGAATCAAGTATATTTTGTCAGAAAATTCAAGATAAGGGTGAGAATTGTTAGGTGTTTGCGTTGATTTTTTTACCATATTTGAATTTACTTGTTTTGAAGTAAGAGAAAAACATTTACTATAATTAGTTTTAGTTTTCCTAAAAGGAAATTATAAATCTTTCATATTTGGCTAATCCTCTTTTTTGGAGGAAAAAGTTTTGGACTTCTATAAATTTAAGATCTTTCCTTCTCGCTTTACATCATTAACGATATAGTCTTTAAGAGCGTTTGTTTCGGGGGAGAACATAAACCTTTTTGAGAGTGAATTTGGTGGATTATTCCCTCGGTATTTTTGTACTCTCTTTGATATTAGTGAATTGCTTATATGTAGTTCAATTGACCTGATCATGTTAAATTGTTTTGTTTCTTTTGGTATATTTCTCTTTGTTGTATTATTTATTATCGTCCATGATTTGCTTTAATAGCTTCCACATCACACTTGGTTATTTCGATTACCACAAGTGGTATCAGAGCTAGATCCATCACAGAGTACCCGATATNTATTTCGATTCCAACAAGTGGTATCATAGCTAGATCCATCACAAAGTACCCGATATTGAGCTCTCATATTATACTGTCAACGCTCCAAATATTCAGTCTTGGGCTGGTGGGGAAGAGGAGGAGGAGAGAGGGGGATGTAAGATCCTATATCAGTTGTGAGTAGGTTATTTGGTCTTTTTATATGATCTTGGACAATCCTCTCCTCATGAGTTAGTTTGCGGTTGAGTTAGGCTCAAGATTCATTTTCTTATTAGTAACTATCTTCTATGCAATAAGGTAAGTAACTATTTTAAATTAAATATGGAAGATTTAATGTTAACAATAATTCTGCAAGTTGAATATAGTCATATTATGGATTAAGAGACATATAACTTCACTAATCCCTTTGACTTTCAACAGGTAGTATTTAATTACGTCCCTAGTTTATATTTGTGTTGGCTACTCTATCTTCTCGATGGAGAAGAGCTCCCTCTATGCAACTCTGGCAGCTTATCAGTCAACCTGGCTTTGTTTTTGCTTTGCAGTAATACTTTGGCGAATGCTACCACGACTGATCTAGTAGTAATTCATCGCAGAAGTTGGCGTTGAAGATATTAAGTATCTTAAATGGGTTGGGGTGCTTCGACTGAGTGCAATAGAAAAGGACCAGATTACTTTGGGCTTTTTGCATCTGAGGTGGCAGAGTTACTTTCTCAGGATGGAGATTTTCTGCCATTTTCAGATCAGATATTTGAGAATTCTGGAGAAGTAAGTAGTGCTGTCGAAGAAAAGAATAGTAGTATGGGTACCTATAACGCCAAGGAGTTTAGGTACACCGGTGGGTCTGCTTCCTTATTTTCTGATTGTTTTGGATCTCATGTTTCGGATTTTAGAACGGAAAGATTGAAGTTGTTGCTTCGGCAAAGTATTGTTGCTCTTTCACGGGAAGTGGACGAGGTACATACTACCCGCTTTTACCTTCACCTACATCGCACATCAAACAAAGTTCTCCCAATACTTGGCTATTTCCGGAAGGGGTGTTACTTTTATGGTTTTATTATATATTGATCCTTTTATTGTGGGCATGTCTATGTGGTAAAAAGTCGTTCTGTGCCTATGCCTGTGTGCCTGTGCCATTATAGTCGTGGGAAGTGGTCATTGCTTTCCAGTCAATGGTTCTCCTCTTGCTCATAAAGATGAAACAACTGCAGAAGATAAATGTTAGATGTGCTATTGTATGCATTTTATGACCATTTCTAAGCAAAGATTATGCAAAGAATGATTGAAAACCAGCTGTCTGTCTTAGTTATTATCTGTATTATATTATATAATATAATTTTCACATGGATATGTCAATGCAGATTCTGGATCCTATATTTTCCATATGTCAGTTGCGATCATGCCTAAGGTATAAAGAAAGTTTATTAGCTGTACCATGTGCTGTATCTGACTCTGATCAAGGGAACCATCCTCAGAAGAAGCTCAAAGCGTCCCCTTTCCCAGTAAGTGTTTCATGTTTTATTTGGAACTTGCTATCTTTTGGAAGCTTCAATTTGATCTTTGAAAGTTAAAAGAAAAAAGAAAAGAGAAAATAAGGAGTGAGACTTCTAAAAGAAATTTGAGGCTTAATACAGGTTACTTGTAGAGAATATGGTAGTTGCTTTAATAAAGTGACTCTTAAGCGTTCCTATTTTAAGTGTCTTTTTATAAAATGAGGGCCAAAATGGTTTGTTGAGATTTGCCCCTAGGACTTTGGTTCAGGGGTAAGAGTGCAAAACATGATGTGTGAATTAGATGCACGCCAGGAGTTCGAACTCTGTCACAAACTTAGAGTCTGATATTTAACTGAAGAAGGGTTAAGAGGCAAGCCCAATATTCACCAAAGTTTCGGGCCGTGCACCAGCTGACTTTTGAAGATTTCTTGGTTATTAAAAAGAAGATTTGTCTAGATTTGTTTTTCTTTTCTATAATTTTGGTAAAAACATGCAGAGGGGTTAAATTGATATTTCTTTTAGCTGTAAAAATTTGGAATCTGGGGGCATAAACTTCTTTACACTGCCTTAACAAATTTATCCGGGAGACGGTGGTTTGAAGCTTAATTATACATGTTAAGTTGGTTGATTCAGACTGAACCTCGCCCATTAAGTGGAGGGCCCGTAGGCTGCTGATTCAAGCTCACTTTAAACATGCCATCATGGGCCGGATTATTCTTGAGCGGAAAGCAGTTCACCCAGGCCCCTTATTAAATGGGTTAGGCATGCCAGGTCCGGGCTTAAACTGGGCTTTTGATGGGCCAATGATTATAATAATCTTTTTCTCTTTTGAGTTGTATGTAATTTTTAAAATTTAAATTTAAAGTTAAAAATTTGTAAAATATGAATATTGAGGCATTGGATGCGAAAATGCAAACATTGTACCTCAAAATTTATTAAATTTCAAAGATATTAAAATTTTAAATGCAACTTACAAATTTACAAGACTAATTTTGTTACTTACGAGAATTACTCAATCCACGGAAGCACAAATGTCTTCAACTTTGGATATTGAAACTCTTCTTGTGAGTTTGAGTTTGACTTAATTAAGTTGTCCAAAGTTTGTCCAGTGAGTCTGTTTCGTTGTTCACTAAGTTGCATCTTTCCTTGGCTAAAAAGCACTGTAGATGCCATAATTGAGACATGAACATTGAGCACATCCCAAGTCGTGGTGGAAATAGTATTATATTTAGCATTTTCTCTTCCACCATTTCAAAATGTCATTGCAATCTTCCTTCGTTCCCAAATCCTGTTGCAAAGAAAAAGTAAGCTCGTTAAAGTGGGCCATAACTTGATTGAGATTTAAGCATATTCCAAATACCGAGAGTACCTAAATTCTGAGAAGAAGAAGTTGGAGTAGGAATCATTGGTCTAACATTCCCTACTTATTCACGATAATAACCGAACATTGCAATAGCATACTTACATGTAAAATTGCCTTGGTTGTTTTCACATTTGGGACAACAACAATTTTTATATCCAAATGTAGATAACCAAATCTTTTAATTGTTTAACTTATCCTAATTCTAAAAAAGGATCTAATAAAGCAACTTCAAAAATAGGTGTAATTGGAATAAAATGCTTTTCAAGTTCTAACTTTCTTTGCTTAGCATTTGCGAAAGGGTTTTCCTTTTATTCATGAAGTATAGCAGCAATTTAAGTTAAATAATCTGAAATAGTATTTGTAGTAGGATAGTAAGTACTAAATTTTTTAAAAGTACATATGTGAAAGTTCTCCGCACATTTAATAATGTCATTTACCCAATTGTAAAGTACATTGTGAAAGTTTTCCACACATTTAAATTCGGCCTTTCTCGGCCTTGAAATAAAGTTAACAACATAAGTAATTGAATTTCTAGCTTTTCTAATTATGTTCTCAAAGGATTTAAGATCATCTGTTACAGTTAAATTCAAAATTTGACATGCTAATCGTTAGTTTGATTTAGATACAACATTATCACTGTTACTATCATTATCGAACGAATATTTGTATTAAGATTAAAAATAATAAGATACCTAGTTTTGTTTGAGTTTTTTTAAACAGTGTGTATCATTATTTAAATGATAAGCTAAAATTTGTTTTTGCATAATCAATCGTCATCTATCCAGCGACAAGTTACTGGTAAAAGTAGAATAATATGGGTAGGGAAAGGAAGATAATAAAGCAGTTGATAAGTTAGCATGATGGAAAAACGCCCCAACCTGAACTTCATCGGCTATAATGCTGCGCAAAAATTTGTATTGTGTTAGACTTCGTTTTCCTTGTGAGGCGGGGGCACGCGAATCTTTTACTGCCCCCGAACGGACCTGAGGGTCTTCCTTCATTCGGCTAGGGTGAATCAATTCACTGCCTCTATCGGTCTCACCCCATATTTTGGCTTTTTTTATCGAAATGTATTTTGAGACGTTTGACAGGATATGCAGGATTCAGAAAGAGAGGACCTGGATATATTGCCATCTGGAGGAATGTCGAGTGACGATGTTCAAAAAGTTGAAGGAGAACAGTTTAAAAGATCCCTTGCAAAGATGGACCAAAATGAATTGGGTTCAAATGTTGGAGCAGCTCCTGAAGACTGGGATGTAAGATCCATCTCTCTCTCTCTCTCTCTGGTGCATGTTTCTAGGCTTGCCTTCTTTTCTTCTTTCTCTCTCTTATCTTTTCAGGTGGGAATTTTTTTGGACGAGGATAAAGCTTTAATTATTCGCTTTGAACTAACATGTTGACTATCCTTTTGCTTAGAATGTTGAATTGATGTAGTTGCAAAGAAATGCTTCATCACCCCCTTCCTGTTTTCCAGGTCCACAATGATTTGCAGTTTCTGCTAAAAAATGATAGTGCAAAGGTTGAGAGTGTGATGAAGAAGCATTGCGATGAACTTTTAGATACGGTAAATTGGCTAAGCACTTGAGTCACTCTATCAGGAATTTTACTGATTTTAGTAGATTGTTAGCTATGTCTAAATTGTGGTTTGACATTATGCAGCTTGGATACATGGAGGAGAAGCTTGAAGAACTTCTTGATATTGTTATGTCAAATTGCAGGTATTTGTTGACATTGGGAAATTTGATTATTTGCTGTTCCCATTTCAGTATATTTTGCTAGCCCTTGTATGCTAGTAATATTTGATAGACGATGATTTGAAGTTCTCATTTCAAAATTTGTTTCATTTTATTAGTATTGTTTTTCCCCCTGTTTGGCGTATAAGAACTCTAGGGAGCTGAATTCTAACAATTTGGATGAGCTTTGCTTGTAAATCTTCTCCGAAACCTAAATATCTTAGAAGATTCAAAGGAAGGTTAGAATTTGTGTTATATATATAATGCTTGTTATTTGGCTACAGAGGGAACACCTGAGATATTCATTTGGGATAAATGTTACGATAATTTGGCAGTTTCGTTTAGTAAAACCATAACACTCAGGGTTGGTATGTTTCCCTTATGGTCCTATAGGGTGCTTGGATATTGGGTTGTTGGGATCTTATCCAGTTCGAGGTGTCTCTTTTTGGGCAAGTGCACTTTACCTGAGGTTATCCAGCCCAAATGTGATTATCAATTGGTTTGAGCAAATATTAAGTATTCCTGCCATACCCAAATTGATTGACCTTGCTGACTTTGCCTAATGTTTAAGAAAAGAAAGTTTGAATGTGATGTTGTGTTTAATTCCACGGGGATTTTTTTTTAAACCTTCAAACCGAGTCACGATTTTGTAGCCACTTTGAGAATAATCTTTGTAAAAGGGGGGCTTTGCCTGACCTTTTACTACAAGAGTTGAACTTGGAAACCAAGTTTAGAGAGCTAAAAAGCTAACACCAAAAAATAGTTACATAGTGGCTATAAAGCTGAAAATTCAAGGTGGTTCATCTGTTAGGGTGCTTTCTTTTTTCTTCTTGATTCTAAATGAAGGAAGTTGCAATCTATCGGTATTTACCAAGCCTGTAACCTGCCCAGGTAGGCTATCAAAAGTGTTATATATACAAAGATCTGTCAGATTGTGGCTAAGGGATGCCAGTTTGTCCGCAACACGATTTGCTTCTCTATAGCAGTGCCGAGTTCTAATATCATGAGTATTTACCAACAATTTTATCTCTTCTAATGTATCACTGATTCTCCAAGGTGTATCCCATTCTCCAATCATTGAGTTCTGAAGGATGAGTGAGTCAATTTCTCCTATGATCGAGTTAAAGCCATTGTTGATGCACCATTTAAGGCCATAGAGCAATGCACTAGCTTCTGCAGTGTTACTGCCCTGTCCCAATGGCAATGAATATGCCATTAAGGTATTATGAGACAGCCATCACTCCTTCTCACTATACCTCCTCCACAGTTTCCATCTAGACAAGATCATCACTGTTCAGCTTCACAAAGAGAGGTGGTGGTTTGAGCCATTTCACCATAATAAAGTAGTTTATCACCACCCGGACTTCATACATGTTACATACATCTTCTCAATTGTTTCCAAAGTTGATCTTCTTGAAATGAGATTTGATAAGCTGAGTGATGTTGAAAGTAATCATATCTTTGGATCTGTGAAAAGATGGTTTTTCCATATCAAATCTAGAGCTGCGCCTAGACCTTCATGTTGAAAGTAATCATCTCTTTGGATCTGTGAAAAGATGGGTTTTCCATATCAAATCTAGAGTTGCACCTAGACGTCCATAGCTCCCAAATGATGATTTCCACAGGGATTGTTAAAACAAAAGTTGGAAGATACTGCCATTACATGTTAATTTGGCTTTTTCAATATGGTAATTGTGCCATTTCAGGAGAGATGTCTTCTTTATCGGGAAGGACTACTATGAAAAAAGATTGAAAATGGAGATAGCATGTAACAATTTGAAAATGTTGCTAATGTCCAATTTAAGCATGTTCTACTAGCAAATTAATTGTTCCTGTGTGGTATTTTATCAACATTCCAAACCCAATCTTGGTTTCACATATTAGGTATATTCTAATCGAAAGGAGACCTAACTTTTGAGTTTTCCCTTAGTTGACCACTATTTCAGTTGTACATTCTACCCCCTCCCCAGACCCCACTTGTGGGATTTTACTGGGTTGTTGTTGTGTGGATGCAAGACAGTTTTCAAAAGCAAGGGACATGAATTTACTTCTTCTTGCCCTTTAACTTTTGTATGGTTTTATTCTGTTAAAAATTTGTAACAACTATCAAACAAAGGACACACATGACATTTTTGATCTATTTCATACTTAATAGATTATAGTATCTCTGTTCTCTAACAATGTTGAACTCCTTCAACGTAGCCTTTAAGACTAAGAAAGAGTCTAAAATATCCGGGTGAAAGGTATGAGAATTTTGTACATTGTCTAAATTGAGTAGTAAGGTCTATTCTTTCTTTACAATTGAGGGTATTGGTAGAATGAATGAGATTGGAAGTTGTGTTTTTCTCATAACCATTATCAAACAAAAGTAATGTTTCTCATAAATAAATACTGTGGAAGGATCCAATTTATTCTTTTCTATTTCTGTGTTGTATTCTTTATGATAAAGAATTCTGCTATACTTCTGAAAGATAAAAGCAAAAGTTTGAGAAGAAGTGTTTTATTGGTTTTCAGTGACTGACATAGTGTGAAAACGAAGTGTGCGTGTGTGTGTATAATGTTACATGTGCGTGAGTGCCTGAATATATCTGATTTTGTCGTATTTGGCCTCGTTAAATTAGATGCGCTGTATGATCGGCTCCATACGGATTTCTCGGTCATCAAAAAAAAAAAAAAAATTAGATGCGCTGTAATGTCCTGTTAGTTGCTGCGTTTGGTGTAAATTCCTTGCACACCCTTGAAGCCATGTTAAATTTGTGTCCAGAAGAAGCATGACAGAATTAGAAACCTGACTGATGTGGAATTCCCTTTAGAAGACAGTAGTAGAATATCTGGTAGATGTTTGCGTCCCTATAGTTCAGTGGTAGAGCAACAGTCTTGTAAATTGAAGGTCTGTATTTTGATCCTGCGGGGTGTAGTGTTTAAATCCTTCGTTGTTATTTTGGAAGGGCCTCGAATGGGGTAGAATGATTATAGAATTTCCATATGACTGATCCTAATTAATTTGGCCTTGATGAAGAATTGGTTAATTAATTAATTAGGTATTGTTTATTACATGAGGTCTCGATGTGGCTTGTTGCTTGTCAGATCTGTGCTTAACTTTTGGTATGGGGAATCTGATTGCCCTTGGCAGGTTAATGACCTTACCTGAGAAACAACACCTTCGGCGGCTGATACGGGACCTCCCACCTAGGAATCTTGATCGCGTGGTCGAGATTTTATGCCGTGGTAAGCAAGTAGAGCAACATTCTTGCAGTGAGGTGCATGTTGATCTAGAAAAAGAGGTAAATATAAGTCTAATTATGTGCTTAGTTTTTCTACATGACCAGTTTCCTGAGTTCCCAATGGGTTATTGTAGGACAAAGCAACACTGTGGAGATTGTATTTCTACATTGAAACAGTAGAAAATGCTAAGAGGCTTCATGAGGTGTAATACTAAGTGGTGACAATTGACAAGGCCCTTCATGAGACTGGGGACATTCGTGATTTAGGTTCTGATAAGTTCTATCATGAATCAGGTATCGTTTTTATGCTCAAGAGCTGCAGAAAGGCTTAACCAAACTGCACATTTTGCAGATCTTCTCGTCGAAATAGATCTCTGGTGGTTATGTTGGAGGCGTCTCAACTCAAGATTTTGGAGGCCAATGGCTGGTGTTGATATAACTCAGCCTTGTGTGCAGACTGCTGGTCTTTGATGACAAATAGAGGCAACATAGACACAAATCACATATTCAATGGCTGTGTATGGTGCCTTTCAGTTTTATTTCCTCATCACTTATAGAATGTCACAAACTACTGTAGTGATCCAGCCATCAACTATTGTAAATTTCCCAAGCTTTATAGCATCTTAAGAATTTACATACCATGATTAGTTATGCACAACGTGAGACTTTTGTCATCAGTTTGTTTGTCAAGTCGAAGAGGTGTAATTGATCAGAGGCAAGTTTCACAGAGAAGCCTGACATAATAAATTTTATCATATAGACCTAATAGACAGAAGCAAGTGAAAATGTTCAGTGTTAAGCACGTGGCTATTTCCAATTTCAAAACTTACCAACGTTAGTAGGTTCTTATACATACAATAGACATCATTTTATTTGTTACCATTTTCATAAAAATAAACATAATCTGACACTATAGGATTAGAATTCTGGAATTTTTTTACACTGAAGTCTGAAAGGACAAGAGAAATATGAAGGTACAACTTACGAGGTTGTTACTTAATCGTTCTTCTCCATAAGAATTAATAGGTTCTTCACAAATCGAGAGCATTTCTAATTTTATGATAAATGTATAACACATATTTTTCTACAACAGAAATGATCCTTTAATAAGGATAAAATAAAGTGGGCCAAAAGATCTATTGGAATATTTCAGAAGCATTGATTCTCTAAATCCAAGACATTAGGTGAATGTCTCTTTTGTGCTCCCTCCGGTCTAAAATAAGTGATTTTTTGGTTGTTTTCACACATATTAAGAAATTTACCTTTTAACATTAATTAGCAATGAAATTGACTATATTAACCTTTATTGTCTCTTCACATAACTACTCCTAACATATACTCCAACATTAATTACTCCAAGGGCAATGTAGGAAAAAAATAATTAATTCATTCTTGAAATATAAAAAAATTACTTATTTTGGACCACAAGAAATTTTGGACGGGAGTAGCGAGGAGTTTTATTTAGTCCTCCTGACTTATGGATAAGTCAACTCTGTGGATGATGTTTTGCCACGATGCATATCTCTACATGGTGTAATTATTGCTATTTAATGGATTAAAAGACAAAATTATCACTATCTACTCTGCTATTTATGCTAACCATTCTCTTGATATTTCTTTCTTTTTTACTCGCAAATCATGTGTTACTCTTACTATGGTTTTCGGATCTTAATTATGGTCCAGTAGGTTGCTAGGTCAAATCACTGAATTTCATCCATGAATGTACCATTTGCTATTGTGGTTGCAGACATGCCTAAATGATATATAGATGTAAAGTCATAAAAATATATACATTTATACAAAGTTACCTTCACATTGTGAATAGTAGATCTATAATACTTTATACTTAAATTCTGTACTTGCTAATCTGAAATTCTAAATCCGTTTTAATAATCTTAATACGAGCATGTTTATCTTGAAAGAAAGTCATGTCATTTCAACTTTGACCATGTATGCCCAAAAGAACAATAGATAAAAATACGTGATAAAGAGAATGGAATCTATCTTGTTCATATGAATATTCTAAAGCCACATTAGTTAGATTCTGTCTTCTAAAAATTGTCGAGCTTTTAACTTAATCAAACACATTTATTGCTAGTGTAATGCAGTAAAACGGCAAACACGTTTTTAGGGGAAGTGCACGGTTAGCCATTAATAACACATGTATTTACTTTTAAGCCACTGTTTAAAATGTCTATCGTTTAATTCAAGACAATTTCTTTTATATTTTTTATATTTTATCCTAAAGATTGCCAAGTGCTTTTATTAGTTTGTCACTTGGCTTAACCACAATGCCACTTATATATGATAACTTTATTCCTTTAATATATATATATATATATATATATATATATAGATATAGATAAATATAGATATGTATCTATCACTGATGATACTTGAAATATACACGGTCTTTGACTAATCGTCATACTGGTTTAAATGTTTAAATAATCTACAAAAGAGAATTCAGACTACTACTGTACTACATCATCAATAATAATAATAAACCCAATATAATCCGAGGGGTTAGATGTGTAAGAAAAAGCCAAAATTAATTTAAAATAAACTTGATATTCAGAAGTCATTCCATAAAGCACTAAAACTACAAATGTACAAGCGTAAACTGTAAAGAAATATAAAGTAACTAACTGACATCTTATAAAATGGAACTTAGAAACACTTTTAAAAAGCTTGACCAAAATATATTACTACAACATTTTTATATTTGTAAGAAAATGTCACTATAAATAAATAAGAAATCTTCAAATCAAAATATTTTAAATATAAAAAGATATCTTTTTTTTTTTGTAACAAAATTGAAGAGAAAAAAATCTCATAAAGAAATTGGGACACAGGAAGACAGATGTTCGAAGATCCATAAATCTTTCTCATTATCAATCCAACCAATGAGATTTCTTCACATCTAGTGACTCAACAAAAGTAGCAAAGGGTAATGTGAACACACGCCAGTGTGAGATGGTACCGCGAAATGACTTGGAAACTTTCCATTTGTAAAGTGGCGGGTTTTAAGGTGCAAGAAAAAAGTGGCGGGTTATTAGAAAGATTGGCCCTATATATAGCGCAACAATTTAAAGTGTTATGCGTGAAAATGCTAACACCAGTAACCATGCTATATTTTAACGGTGAAAATGCTAATACCTCATGACTTAGTTTATTTGCTGTGATAATTAGTTTGGTGTGTCAAATAGGTGTCTAAGTAAACTGACATGGAGTTGTGAAATATTTGAGAAATGATTATTATAACTGACTCATATATGCCCCGATACAATTCGAACTATGTCTAACTTTCCCTCACATATATTCCACGTGGCTTTATGAGTCTTTCGTTAGGATGGAGGACATATACGATCCCATTTGTTGATGGCAAGGATAGAATAGAGACTAACTTTTAACGGAGGGCTAGCCTATCCTATTTATATAGTAAAGGAGCATTTTCGGCCCTTTTCCGAAGTTATTATTTGATGGTTGCATTCATTTACTGAAATACAAAATACTACTTCTCCGGTCCATAATAAGTGACTTTTTTGCCTTTTAATTTTGGTCCAAAATACGTGTACATAATCGAGAAGGAATTAGTTTTATATTTTTAAAATTTGTCCTTATTTACATATTCCAATGTGTCAAGTTAATAATAACAAATTTTAACTAAGTAATGTAGTCAAAATACCCTTTTTTTTTTCTCTAGGAGTTACTTTTTCTTAAGGGGTGTGTCAAAGGACAAAAGTCACTTATTATAAACCGGAGGGAGCAGTGTTGTGCTCAGAGGTGGAGCCAGAATTTAGAGCTTGTGGGTTCGAGATTCTAGTTCGTTTATGTTATTGGGTTCTAAATTAACAATTTATACATATTCAATGGATTTTTAAAGATAAATACAGGGTTTGCACCAAAGTTACTGTGTTCGGCCGAACACGCAAATCCTATGCTAGCTACGCCCCTAGCTGTGCTGCCAAAAGCTCCTTTTGTTATGAAATAAAAGTAATTTAGTAAAATAAAAATAAGAAACAAAGATAGAATGAAGGAGTTTTTCACTTCTTCTAGCGTGTCTTTCCTCTGCCATTAACATAGCCTTTTATAGGCATAAAGGTGAAGACTACTATAGTAAAATAAAGATGGACATCCATCCACAAATTATTTACACATGGACATTCATCCACATACTATTTACAATACCCCCCCTTGAATGACCATGTAAAACAAATATGCATCATTAAGAGCTTAATAGGAAAAACCTGGGAAGTACATAGTTATTTGTAATATGTATTATTTGTTGCCTCATTAAAAATCTTACTAGGAAAATCCAATGGGACAAAACCTTAGTTAAGGAAAAAAATGTAAATTGTGTACTTTTACTCCCCTGATTAAAATATCACTTAAGGTTTCGGAGATGGTGCATTCCTATCTTGTATATTAACTTCTCAAATGTTGAGGTTGACATTGCCTTAGTAAACAGATCTGCCAAATTATCACTTGAATGAACATGTTGAACATCTATTTCACCATTCTTTTGAAGATCATGAGTGAAGCAGAATTTTGGTAAAATATGTTTTGTTCTGTCTCCTTTAATGTATCCTCCTTTCAGTTGAGCTATACATGCAATATTGTCTTCATACAATATTGTTGGAATATTTTCTTTCAAAGAAAGACCACATGGTTCCTGAATATGTTGAGTTATTGATCTCAACCAAACACATTCTCGACTTGCTTCGTGAATGGCTATTATCTCTACATGATTTGAAGAAGTAGCAACCATAGTTTGTTTCATTGAAAGCCATGATATGGATGTACCTCCGCATGTAAACAAATCGCTTGTCTGAGATCGAGCTTTATGTGGATTGGATAAATATCATGCATCTGCATAGCCAATTAATGCTGGCTTGGATTCATCGGAGATATCTATATATATGCTTAATACTATTCTAGTGTCTTTGTATTGGGAAAGAACTAAATCTTGCTAACAAACTTACTGAGAAAGCTATATTTGGTTGAGAATTATTGGCAAGATACATTAATGCCCCAATTGTACTAAGATATGATATTTCAGCACCAATAAGCTCTTTATCATTTTTATGAGGTCGGAATGAATCTTTATTTATATCATGTGATCTCACAACCATTGGGTACTCAATGGATGTGATTTATCCATATAGAATCGCTTTAAAATCTTTTCGGTGTATGTTGAAATGGATAAAAATTCTATTTTTCATATACTCAATTTGTAGACCAAGACAAAATCTTGTCTTTCCAAGATCTTTCATTTCAAATTCTTTTTTCAAATAATCTACTACTTTTAGACGTTTCCCAGAAGTTCTAATGTTATTTAAATCATCAACATACAAAACGATTATAACAAATTCAGATTCAGCCCTTTTTATAAGGACACAAGGGCAAATTGGATCATTGTTGTACCCTTCTTACAATAGGTATTCACTCAGGTGATTATACTACATGCGCCCTGATTGTTTCAATCCGTATAAGGACTTCTAAAGCTTTATTGAACAAGTTTTTCGAAAACTTTTATATTTTTCAGGCACTTTAAATCCTTCAAGAATTTTCATAAAAATTTCAATGTCTATGAGCCATACAAATAGGTTGTGACAACATCCATTAGATGCATATCAAGCTTTTCATGCACTGCCATATTTATAAGATACCTGAAGGTGATAGCATCCACCACAGGAGAATATTTCTCCATATAATCAATACCAGGCCTTTGCGAAAAATCTTGTACCACAAGTCGTGCTTTAT